ATTTATTGATGATGTGACTGCTGACAAAAGCAGCAGGATGAATTCTGAAGTCTTTCGGGCAATATTATCCACTCATATTCAGCCAAATGCTTCAGAACTCATTGGACGGCGCTTCACAGTGCAGATGGACAATGACCCAAAGCATACTGCGAAAACAACCAAAGAGTTTTGTAAGGGAAAGAAGTGGAATGTTATGCAATGGCCAAGTCAATCACCTGACCTGAATCCGATTGAGCATGCATTTTACTTGCTGAAGACAAAACTGAAGGGAAAATGCCCCAAGAACAAGCAGGAACTGAAGACTGTTGCAGTAGAGGCCTGGCAGAGCATCACCAGGGATGAAACCCAGCGTCTGGTGATGTCTATGCCTTCCAGACTTCAGGCTGTAATTGCCTGCAAAGGATTTGCAACCAAGTATTAAAAAGTGAAAGTTTGATTTATGATTATTAATCTGTTCCATTACTTTAGGTCCCTTAAAAAGTAGCAGGCACATATACACACTGTTGTAATTCCTACACTGTTCATCTGATTTGGATGTAAATACCCTCAAATTAAAGCTGAAAGTCTACAGATAAAGCATATCTTGTTTGTTTCATTTCAAATCCATTGTGGTGGTGTATAGAGCCAAAAAGATTAGAATTGTGTTGATGTCCCAATATTTATGGACCTGACTGTAGCTTTAGGATCAGAACACCACAAGCACCTTGGTCTTTGTCTGTTTGTTGTTCTACTGCATATGAGTTCATGCTTCCTGGTTCCTCCACAGGGTGGACCAGCAGAACTCAGAGGTTCCCAGTGGTCCATCTGCCCAGCAGCATCAAACCCAGCTGGACTCCATATTTATGGTCTGTACACGTACTACAACTACTTACCCATGGGTTCTGTTCACAGTCATCTCCATGCAGCACTTTGTAGACAAGAGGACTGTCAGTCTGTCCAACATGGAGCTGATGTTTGGCTCTATTATTTCAGTCTTGTATGGACTGTATAGACTGACTGTATATGGAACTTAGGTGGCAACAATCAATTCAGGGTGCCGGGTCAGGTCACTTTAGAAATGTTCAGGTGCTTGCAGTAAGAAGAGACAGACTCCTTAAACCAGCTTGATTGATTTATCTGCATTTAAGGCTATGTTAGGGCTTGGTGTGTGGTTTCTGAAATACAAACATACAGTACAAATTCAGAACATAGAAAATAAAATAAAACTCAAAGGCTCGAATATCATACCAGCATTCAGCATGCAATATATAATCAACAGGGATTAGCAATACTGCAACATAAAACTCCCAGCCTACGGCTAGTTAGCAGCTAAAAACAAATCACTAATTTTAGCTAACCATTCACCATAAAATACACAATGCAAATGGCAGCAAACTAATGCTAAGCTATCAATGTAGGCATAGGGGGTTAACACAAACACAGAGTGTAACACAAAATACACATATTAACTTACGGCTCTATGGATGCACACACTGCAGATCATTAAACTCTGTCTGCTCCAAACTGAGTGGTATGCATGTGGTGTGTTTAAGAACTCTGGTAAGGAAGGAATTTTCATGAACAGGTATTAACTTTTGTACAAGTCTGATGTGTCCTTAATTCTTTTTTTTTCTGTTCAGCTGCTGGAGGAAAACATTGTTAGTTTTGTGAAGAATGAGCTGAAGAAGATACAGAAGGTTCTGAGTCCAGATGATACAAAAGGTCAAAGGGAGGTTGAGGAGGTGTTGGAAGGTGAGGACGAAGAGGAGAAAAGGAGCAGAGAGGCATTTGTTAAGATCACCATGAACTTCCTGAGGAGGATAAAGCAGGATGTGCTGGCTGAACGTCTGCAGAGTAGTAAGAGGATTTCTATTAAGATTTAACATGATGGATAAATTATTCATTCATTCCATTCAGAAGAACAGAAAATCAATTACTATGACTTGTTCCAATACTATTGATATTTTATGTTCCTTCAGGATATTGTTCCGAAGTTTGTCAACATAACCATAAATCAAGTCTGAAGAAGAGGTTCCAGTCTGTGTTTGAGGGGATCACTAAAGCAGGAAGTCCAACCCTTCTGAACCAGATCTATACAGAGCTCTACATCACAGAGGGAGGGACTGGGGGGGTCAATGATGAACATGAGGTCAGACAGATTGAAACAGCATCCAGGAAAACAAACAGACCAGAAACAACAATCAGACAAGAAGACATCTTTAAAGTTCCACCTGGAAGAGATCAACCAATCAGAACAGTGATGACAAAGGGAGTGGCTGGCATTGGGAAAACAGTCTTAACACAGAAGTTCACTCTGGACTGGGCTGAAGGCAAAGCCCATCAGAACATCCAGTTCATATTTCCATTAACCTTCAGAGAGCTGAATGTGCTGAAAGAAAAAAAGTTCAGCTTGGTGGAACTTATTCATCACTTCTTTACTGAAACCAACGGAATCTGCAGCTTTGATCACTTCCAGGTTCTGTTCATCTTTGATGGTCTGGATGAGAGTCGACTTCCTCTGGACTTCAAAAACAAGGAGATCCTGACTGATGTTACAGAGTCCACCTCAGTGGATGTTCTGCTGACAAACCTCATCAAGGGGAAACTGCTTCCCTCTGCTCTCCTCTGGATAACCACACGACCTGCAGCAGCCAATCAGATCCCTCCTGACTGTGTTGGCATGGTGACAGAGGTCAGAGGGTTCAATGACCCACAGAAGGAGGAGTACTTCAGGAAGAGATTCAGAGACGAGAAGAAGGCCAACAGGATCATCTCCCACATCAATAGATCTAGAAGCATCCAGATAATGTGCCACATTCCAGTCTTCTGCTGGATTACTGCTAAGGTTCTGGAGGGAGTATTGGAGACCAGAGAGGAAGGAGAGCTGCCCAACACCCTGACTGAGATGTACATCCACTTCCTGGTGGTTCAGACCAAAGTGAAGAAGATCAAGTATGATGGAGCAGCTGAAACAGATCCACACTGGACTCCAGAGAGCAGGATGATGATTGAGTCTCTTGGAAAACTGGCTTTTGATCAGCTGCAGAAAGGAAACTTGATTTTCTATGAATCAGACCTGAAAGAGTGTGGCATTGATATCAGAGCAGCCTCAGTTTACTCAGGAGTGTTCACAGAGATCTTTAAAGAGGAGAGGGGACTGTACCAGAACCAGGACAAAGTGTTCTGCTTCATCCATTTGAGTGTTCAAGAGTTTCTGGCTGCTCTTCATGTTCATCTGACCTTCATCAAGGATGGAGTCAATCTGATGGGGGAACAAAAAAACATATCTGTTAGGGCTAAATTAGCTAATAAATCGAAACTAAGTAATCTCCATTACAGTGCTGTTAACAAGGCCTTACAGAGTCTCAATGGACACCTGGACCTGTTCCTCCGTTTCCTCCTGGGTCTTTCACTGCAGACAAATCAGACTCTCCTACAAGGTCTGATGACAAAGACAGAAAGTTGTCCTCTGACCAATCAGGAAACAGTTCAGTACATCAAGAAGAAGATCAATAAAAATCTGTCTGCAGAGAAAAGCATCAACCTGTTCCACTGCTTGAATGAACTGAATGATCGTTCTCTGGTCCAGAAGATCCAACAGTCTCTCAGATCAGGAAGTCTCTCCATAGATAAACTGTCTCCTGCTCAGTGGTCAACTCTGGCCTTCATCTTAGTGACATCAGGAGAAGATCTAGATGTGTTTGACCTAAATAAATACTCTGCTTCAGAGGAGGCTCTTCTCAGGCTGCTGCCAGTGGTCAGAGCTTCAACCAAAGTTCTGTAAGTACTGACAGAACTTGGGTTTTGAGACCAAGTGCTAAAACCAGGAAAGAGTGAATATTATCCTGGTCAAACTGATCTTTGACCATTAGTTTTATTAAAAAAAGTAAAACTAGTCAAATGGAATTACAGACTAACATAGATCTAAAACAAAAACAAAATGGGGGCTCCTATGGGCAGTGGCTTACTAAAGGTCTACAACCAAGTTTGAAAAAATAAATAAGATTTTTAATTGGTGAACAATATGATTTCTGTTATCAAAGTCAAACATAAGTCTTTAAGTATATAGTTTTTTTTTATTCTTGTAAATCATGAATTATGTTCATCCTTGCTAGACCTGGAAACAGATACCACCGGCTAGTCCAGGTAGATATATAGGACTTCGTAGCTATCCCATAGATCTAAACAAAGAGAGGAGTAAAGATGTCATCCCCCGCCAGTTGTATACAGGGAACCAAGTTGCATTTCCTAATTATTATAAGATCTATCCCAAAAAATGGTTTGGTCCAAATGCCAATCTAATTGGAGGTGCAGTCAGCTGCTGTTCCGCAAGCTCTGATTTGCGAAGTGTCAAAAACACTTTATATAAAGGCCGCAACAATTTGTAAAAGTGAGTAAATCATTGGTCGCATCATTTGTTCGAGGACCTCATGGTTTTAACTTAAAATCAGATTTTTCTACCACTTTTTCATAAGTTAAATAATTTTCTCTAATGACCTTAGAAGTTTTGGATTTGGGAGCAGAGTTAGAGCAGATAGTCTGGTTACTTTATTGTGCTGTGTTAACTGTCTTACTAAAAAAAATAGTTTGCAGATTAAATACAGAGGAAACATGGTTTTGGGAACAGGAAATGTGTTAAGTTATTGGAGGAACAGCGATTAAATTTACCATTTATTTGTGTAGAAAAAGTTCTCCAATGTTTGAAGAAACCAACCACTTGATAGTGTGGTTAATAAACATGACTTACAAAGTTTTCCTTTATGGTAATCTGGATAAAATAAAAACAAATATAATAATTGACTGTTTTTAAAACTGGCAACATCTTATTTATTACCAGGACTTTCTCTCCTGCTAAGAGATGACCTGTGAGAACATTCTGGGAGTTCAAACTATAGAATTATACAGCAAATATCACACTAATAATCAATAAAGGGAATATATCTGTGCTGGTATAGAGCTGAACTTCTAACTCAAATGTCAGATGTATTATATACTTATCATGACTGACAGCTTTTAGCATAATCATATGTCTGGAAAAAGAAACTGGCATTAATGGGATACTTATCCAGTAAATTCTGTTTTATAGATTATACATACATGGTTCTTAAGTATTTCAGGTACAGTTGTTACTTTTTGCTTGTTTAGAACCTGAAGAAAATGCTGATTTAGTTGTATTTTCTCTTTTTGATAGATATCACATTATTTTCAATCTTATAATTTTCCTAATGAAGGAGTAAAGCTTTAAGATTTAAAATTCATTCCGTCTCAGCCTGATATCTTTCCATCTAAACACAGTTTGTAAAGATATGAACTGGTTGTTTGGGATGTGTCAGAACTTGGAAGGCAGACAGACAGAACAGAAGTGATTTCTAAAAAAATTGTTTTATTCACTGCTCAGTGTGGCTTGCCAGCTGGGACAGTCTGACTTGAATCTCTGTAGCGGTAGCAACTTAGATTAATGACCACAAAACTATGACAGGGAATGATAGTAGGGAGGGTTTTAAGTTCATTCTGAGCCCAGAGGAAGGAATGGAATCCAGCCAAATGATTTCTCTACAGCATGCGGCAGGAGCCACCCGGAGAGTTCTCTGAGTAGAAATAGAGTAGCCTGATGAGCAGAAGCCAGCAGATGAGGAAGAGAAAGGGAGAAACTAATGGGAAAAGAAAGGGAAAATCTAAAGTCAGTGGCGATGTGGAATCAGATGTCAAGGCCATAAGATCAGAGATACCAAAAGGTACGGAAGGGAAATTCCCGCCAGGGTCAGGAGACAGAACCAAGGTCATTAGCAGGCAGAATCCAAATAGCAGTCCAAAGACAGGTCAGGCAAAACAGATCAGAACAGGGAAAGTTAAAATCAGAAGTCCAGGACCAGAAATTATTCAGGATCAGGTAACCCTCATGACTGAGAGCAAGCATTTTAAATAGGAGCTGGAACAGGTGGATCTGATGAGTGAGAATAAAAACTGGGCAGAGCTAATCAGGCGGAAGAAATGAACTAATAATACAGCCATCAGTGCCAAGATCATTACAGAACCCCCTCAACGTTGGATTACAGAGACCCTTTTGGGCTGGTCAGGATGCACCCTATGAAAAACCTTAATCAGGTCTTTTCCCAACATGAATCTAGCAGGAACCCAGGACCTCTCCTCGGGTCTGTAACACTCCCAGTCCATCAAGTACTGGATCCCCCTGTCTGTCTACCTAAACCTCGGTAGGCAGTTGACAGTGTATGAAGGTTCCCCTTTCAAGGAATCGGGTTGGTGGAGAGGACCTGGACCTGGTACAAATCTAGAGATTAGAACTGGCTTGACCCAGGACACATGAAACGTAGGATGTAACTTCATAGCATGAGGGAGTTGAAGGCAGACAGTAACCTGGTTCATCAATTTACTGATGGGGAATGGCCTGATAAAAAGAGGAGCCAGCTTCCTACTATCTACCCTAAGGGGCAGATCTTTGGTAAACAGCCAAACTTTCTGGCCCTCCTGATAAATGGTGCTGGAACCCTCCGATGATTAGCAGCTGTAGCTTGGCTAACCAAGGCCTTAGATGTTGCCTTTCTATTCCTTCTCCAGGCTCACTGCTACCTGAGAGCAGATAAATGGGCCGATGGAACATTGGAATCTTTTTCCTGAAAGGTGAACCAAACACAGCAAAAAAAAAAACCAAACACAGCAAAAAACTGAAAGAGCCCAGTGGTGCTAGAGAGGGCAGAATTTATGGCATGTTCAACCCAAGGAAGTTGACCAGCCCAATTAGTGGGATCAGCTTCTCTCTGGCCCTCTCTGTCTGGCCGTCTGTTTGGGGGTGAAAGCCTGAACAAAAATCCAGTCATCAGGGCCAAAATCATGACAGATTGTTTAATCTAGTGAACTGCATAAAGATACTTTTCAAGGTGTTCTAAAAAAAAAACCCAAAAAAAACAACCTCCATGTTGTCCCTCAAGAAAACTGGACAGTGAGCGAAAGTGTACTTTTAGGTCAGAGGAGAGATATGCCTAGATGAGAATAATGATGGACTGACTACAACAGAAGCCCTCAGCTACACAAGCTTTAAAGCCCAATAATATACTTGCTTTTACTCTTCTTTTATATGGCTTAATGAGAGAAGTGGGCTTTAAGCTGCCTTGCAAGGCCATTACACTTTCACTTAGGCGCTGCCGCTTTTTCAGCAGTCCAAGCTTTCTCTGCTCTCTTTTTCTCATCGACTTCTCCTCCTTTCCCACCACCGGCTTGCTACAGGTTTGCCTGCTGTGTCTAGAAGTAGCTTGCAGCAGTGACCCAGACTGAAACAGCTCATTGGCTAATTTGTATAATGTGTAGCCTGGTCCCGGTGCTCTGGACAGCTTTATCATATTAACAGGAGATGCGGCACAAGTGAAGTTAGACACTGTCATCAGACAACATTGGGTAATTTATAAATGTTTTAAAGCAGGTTGGGTCGGGATTAGCAAGCAGGGGGGTCCGGATCCTGACCGCGGTCCGCTAATCCGTGACCTCTCCCATAGAGGAATACTGTGTGAGTCATGTTTCTTGCAGCAAAGCATAAATATTATCCAGAAGTTGATTAATTTTGCACAATAGTCTTCCTGATTTACTCTAATATAGTAAATGAACTCCCTGTTTCTCCAATAACTTATTACATGCCAGCCTTGCTGACTGAATACCTCTTACTGACTGAATAACTCAATACTATCTTTATCCCCAACTCCCACCAAAAAAATTGATCTCTGTATTACCCTATCTCTCATTGAGCAGTGTGCAGGAGTGCAGCACCCATGGAGTATTTCTGGGTTCAGACTGGTGGTTTATGAGACACAAAGTGCCATTCTTTGGGAATCAAGAAACTTGGAGCATTCCTTGTCCAAGTGTTTTGTTTTAATAAACAGGCCATCACTCACTGCTTCTGAAGTTTTTAACTCACATCAACCAAGCCAGGATCATTTAATTTGAATTATTAATAAAAATTTCCCTGAACTTTGATGGTAAAATATGCCTGACACTTGACTTAGAGCTCTACATTAGGTATAAATATTATGATAACTTTAAAATTATTGTTAGCATGTTGTTTAATATATATTACAGCTGACAGCCCGTACATGCTGTCAACTGTCATCTATTTTGAGGGCTCCTGAAAACCATCAGAACTTCATGTTCCTGCAAACTAATGCCGTTTCTAGGTGAGACAGTTAACACAGCAGAATAAAGAATCCTGACTAGCTACACTTCCTGCTGCTGACTGTACTGCTCTAAGATAGCTGTTGCTACTAGCTCTATACAGCCAGGCAGGCAGTCACCAGCAGCTACAACTACTCTGCTGTCAACATGGAGAGCAGGCTGACTACACTGCAGTAAACCATTCTCTGTTCAATCCAGTTTGCAAGTGAAATATGCATAGCAAAGCTGCTGCTAATCGTGTCCTAGATTGCAACATTGAATCATGAAATATATTATTAACAGTTGCATAAAATAACTGGATATTCATTTTACAGCCTCATTCTCTCCCCTTCTGCTCCTTCAGTCTTTATGTGTTTTTGCACTGCCCTTTCTTACTTCTTTGTGTTTTTTATTTGTTATTATTTTGCTAGATGGCAAGCATGTATGCTATCAATTGGTACGGAGTATAGAACTAAAATATTGAATTATACATTTTCTTTCCTTTTTTATAAAAGTCTCTACAAAACTCTCAAATTCCCCACATGTTTTCCTCCTTGCTATCCTATCACTTTGTGCTGCTTTGTATGTCAGCTAGAAAACAAAAATAAAAAACAATTGTAGGGGTTTAGAAAATCCTACAGCTGAATTACATCAGCTGTGGAAATTATGCAATGACCTTTCTCGGTTCAATCCAGTTTGCAAGTGAAATATGCATATGCAAATCTGCTGCTAATCCTACCCTGGATTGATGATGACATCATCCAGCACCTTCTAGTGCCTTTTAGGACAGTCAATAGCAAATTTTCTAGCTGAGGAGTTGGCAACACTGCTTTTTTGGGGGTTTTGGTATACATGCTCTGGTTTGAGCTTCATGAGCTTTCGAAAAAGGCTTTTATGTTGTCATTTCTATCTCTGTCTCTTCAGACTGAATAGCTGTAACCTCTCAGAGAGAAGCTGTGAAGTTCTGGCCTCAGTTCTCAGCTCCCAGTCCTCTAATCTGAGAGAGATTGACCTGAGTAACAACAAGCTGAAGGATTCTGGAGTGGAGCTGCTGTCTTCTGGACTGAAGAGTCCAAACTGCAAACTGGAAAGTCTCAGGTCTGAATATCATTCCAGGAAATATTTGAAGCCTTGTTTTTATATCTAAATTCATGCAGAATGTTTATGTGACCTTAGTGAGCATTGGAGCATTATTTACTGTAACTTATTACGATTACAACGAAGCAAACTAAACTCACAGTTATCACTAAACACTGCTAGTGCAGTTTCAGATGAAGAGAAAGATGGACTGAACCAGGACTTGATATAAATATTTGGAGATTTTAATAGAAAATAATTATATGGTGTCATCGGAAAAAAGTATTCAACTATTCACTCCAGTTAAAAAAACAGACATTAATTTCACTCAGTCTGCCCTTTATTTTATCTTTGCAAAGAGAGAAAAGTTCATCATAAGGCCCTTATTGCATGGTAATCAGCCATGTTCTGATCTGGATAGCATTCATCCCCCTTTACTTACAATAATGGAAAGTATTCAGAGTCAAAACAAATTACAGACACTTTGGTTTAACAATAATATCTTATGAATAAACATTGAGAAATAGTCTGGCTGGTTGTGGGAATAAGTATGTCTTGTCTATAAACACCCCTGACTTAGGCATGGTGTGGCCTTGCAGGTGAAACAGACTGGGTAAAATCTTTTTCAGTAGATAAATCGCATAATTCAGTATATATTCAATAAGAGAAATCTTAATTTTCCGATCACAGTTCCACGGGGTATCATCGTTGTAATCGATAATAAAAAAGGACAATTAGCGAATAAATGTAAAGAAAAATAAGAACTAAGAAACGACAATGTAAGTAACAATGAAATAAAGACAGATTGAAATGCATATAGGAGGCTGAACTCAAGAGATCCCAGTGTGGCTGTAAGG